GAGAAAATGTTGAGACCATAATGCATGCTTTGTTTGAATGTCCGAGAGCTATGAAGGTGTGGAGGTTGGCCCCAGTCCAATGGAATCCCAACAAGGTTAGAACTGATAGTTTCAGAGGCTGGTGGAGTGATGTTTGTAATGCCAAAAAGGGCGATCACTGGGAGGACAGAGTGGAATTAACTGTTTACATCTTGAATTGGCTTTGGAAAACTAGAAATTTATGGATTTTTGAAAATAAGAGAATGGCTGAGAGGGAGACTATTAGTAAGGCTGCAGTGGAGTGGGAGGAATTCAGACTGAGTATACAGGGCAAAGATGATATTTCAGGAGACTTGGTTGCTGGAAATAATGCAGTAGGGCAAATTTGTTTGTTTGTCAGTGCTTGTGTTGTTCTAGGTGTGGGCAGTGGGGTTGGTGGTTTGCCTAAGGTCAGGGAGCAAGAAGGGACTTTGAAGAAATGGCAGATTTTTATCCCTAATTGTGAAGACCAGGTGGAAGCCCTGTTACAAGGAGTTCATGCAGCATTGTGGAAAGCTTTTAACTGGGATTGGAAAGAGGTGAATATTCTTACAGATGATGAAGCTGTATCCCAAAAGTTGAAGGTTGTAGAACCTTTTGCTGGTAATGCCAGGATTATAGCCGATGATATTTTCTTTCTGGCAGGTTTGTTTTATGATTGTAAGTTTGAGTGTGATTGGTCTGATTTTATTACTTGTTGTGCTAGTTTGGCTTTAGATGCCGTTGTGTCGAGATGTAGCCGTGAATGGCATTTCTGATTAGGTTAGGTGTAATATTACGCCTAGCTTTGCTTGTGATCAGTGGATCACCGGATGTACTTGGACTATGTTATTTTCGTTTTGGAGTGCAATTTATCTATCGTTTGGGAAAAAAAAAAACATAATTTTATATAATGAAGGACATAAATGATGTGTAAGTATAGAAATTAGAGTTAATGTGACTATAAATCACACGATCTTACAACATATGCATTATGTCAAATTGTATGTGTCCCATTATATTATTGTACATAATTTTAATTTTTAAAGCTTATTTGATCTTACAACATAAGTATTATGTCAAACTTTTCCAAGCTTATTTGATTTGATTGGCCTTTTGAATTAATTTGAAAAAACTTATAAAGCAACAATTTTAGGTGAAGAGAAGAATGTTAAAATTACACAACAATATAAAATTCTTAAAATAATTATACAAATTGTTATTTATCCAATATTAACTTAAAAAACCATCAATATAATTTGCTAGTCAATTTAATTTTACAATATACTATCAAATATCCATTAATAACTAAATAAGTTAGTTTTGTGATCAGTTAATAACTAAATAAGTTATTCGTCAAAATGAAACAACATGGTGAATATTTTTTCTTGATTGAAACCAGATATTCCTTAGAATAGTTGTTAATTCTTTTAATTTCATGCTTAATGCATTTTCTAAGCAAAAACAAATTTTTTTAGAGTTATAGATTTGGTGGGTGCGGTCTCGTAAGGCTGAAGCACACTATAAAAGAGCATGGCTACAACAAAGTGAAGCAATATTCCAAAATCAAATGATGATGGAAGAAGTAGTCCATTAGATTTATAAATTAAGCACACGTGCAATATAAAATCAACGTGAGACAACTCGCAAATAATATTCAAACACACACTTCACTTGTTAGTCCTTCAATTCATAGGCTTAGGTCCAACATGTCAAGTAGATCAAATCATCGTAAGTTTTAGATCAGGTCCGCACTGATACCATATTGAAAGTATCATTATTCATATATTAGCAAAAGATGAACACGTTCACAGATGTGGAAGACGAGAGAAACACACTGGAGGTGTGAATGAATCGATTTCGATAAACAAAGAATGAAAAGTTGTGATGTGTGAAACCCTATTGCTTCTATTTATACATTTTGAGATAACTATAGGTGATATTCTTCACACTTTCTATTATCATAAGGTTAATACTAAGTGGCCTGCAAACGATCTCGAGGCTTGACCTTGGATATGCACTCGACCGGTTCGATAGACCTGCAAAATAGCGTCGAGAGTGGTCTTGGCGTAGAAGTCCAACGATCAAGTCAAAATGTGTATGAAGAAGACGATGAACAATAATTGTATAGCTTGTGAAATATATAAGATTGTATAGAGTGCAAATGGCCATACCTTACTCCTTTATATAGGAGTGTTACCTTGTTGCCAAAAATTGCCGATTGCGCTCGAGCTACCCGTTCATGTACTGCCCGGGTGCCCAAACAGTCTGATTCTGTTAGGTAGCGTGGTCCTATCCACATGTGGTTCTTATTCTAATAATATTCATTCTTATCTCTTAAGTAGTGTATTCAAATTACTAGTTATGTACCAATAAAAAAAATAATAAAATTACTAGTTGGTCTAACTTGCGACCAACTCGACTTCCCTTGAATCAGATTGTTTCGACCTTCAACATGCCTCCAGATCGAGTTTCTATCAAGCTAGATGAAAGCCCTAACTCGACCTGTTGGTGAGCTTCTTTACCTATGACGTCACCATTGACTTGGTGGTTCTTCGACCTCGGAAACTCTTGATGTTCGATCGACCGGTCGGTTCAGTCAAACCATTTCTTAAGTCATACTCGACCTAAATCTCATGTCACTAATGGTAAACTTCTATTACAATAACTCAGTCTAGCTTACAAAAAATGGTTTTGCACATGTCAAGCCTCTAAGACAATTTTCATAACTTTTGCTCTTGTAATTTCATCATTTATTTGGTCATATTTATCACAAACTTATTAATTTTGGCATGAAAAGTGACACATTTATCTATCACTTGTATTTTATATCATCTCTTTGACATGGACTTAAATTACCAGTGTAGTATGTTTTCGAAAGTGGAGCGGCGATTTTAATTGAACCATGCATCTAGCATGATTGATTAAGTGGTTATGAGTCAAAATTTCACCATTTGCAACTTATTTGAGGATTTCAATATTTCCTATTTTATTTATTCTATTGGTTTCCTATTTCGTTTAGACTTTGAATTTGGGATTATTTTTTTTAGTACAGGAATCTTCCGGTTTCTGGATCCACAGGAGAACCGACTAATTCGGAATCGAGTCGGGTAGGACTACAAGGACGGCAAACCTCTCCCTCAAGAGTTTTTAACACTGCTGCATTTCTAGGGCTCAAACACGAGACCACTGGTTAAGCTGGAAGAGACTCAAGTCATCTCATTCAAGCGCTTTGGGTTGAGTTGACTTTGGGATCTTTACTTATGCTTGTTTTATTGTTTGATGAAGGGTAACTGAGATTTTGTAATATTTTATTATTTATTTATTTATTTATTTGTCTGCTGATTTTGTAAGCAAGATTTTTTTTCTCCATTTTTATATGCAGTCAAAAGACACTAACATGCTGGGATATTTAACTTAATAAATCTAGATTTATGGATTCAAGTAATCATCAAATATTTATTAAAAAGGAACACGACCATATGATAAAAGCAATCATGGAGGTGTCTGTCTATTTCATGATTAAATTAAGTCAAACACACTAATCTTCCTGCTTTACTTTACTTCCCCAAATGGGTCTCAATAGATTCACATATTTTACTCCTAAGATGCTACAAAACTATTATGTCGGGATATGTAATTGTTAGATCATCATGTAACCGTCGTGGATAGTTGATCTAACGGTTACAAACCACGACGAGCAACAAATATTAGCAGGTTTTATTTGTAGTCATCAACAGGGTCAGGTAAATTCTCTAAACCTAAACTATAAAAATTAAATCAATTATTGTTTTAAAAAAATTAATACACCTCAAAAAACTATAAATATGAAAAAAAAAATCTTTGTTTTTTGCCAAGTTGCCATGCAATAAGTCTACCACAATTTCAGCAGAGCAAACACAGAAAGAGACACCAACAAGAATGAACTCAACTCCACACCACATGGATCAAACCAGAATATGCACTAATAAAACTACACATTTTAGCCACAAAAACTAAGCCGTAAGCTGCTCGAGATCCTTGAGCAGCCCCACGACCTGCTGCATGCTCGGCCGCTTGGAAGGAAGCTCGGCCGTGCAAAGGTACCCAATCTTCAAAGCCTCCACCATCTGCCCATCTGGCCCGGTCCCACAAATCTTCGGGTCCACGGCCCGTATCCCTTGGTTCATCCTCACCAGCCCCCTAACCCACCTCACTAGATTAGTCCCATCCTTCTCCTCCTCCGGGTAAAAATCCTCCGCAGCCCTTTTCCCCGTCACCAGCTCGAAAAGCACGACCCCAAATCCATAAACGTCCGATTTCGGAGTCGGGTCGGGCGACGACCCGTTGAACTCGGGTGGTAAATAGCCCGGCGGCCCATCTTCCAGCCCATTCATAAAAATCTTGGCAAGCCCAAAATCCGAAAGCCTCGGTTCCAAATTCGAGTCGAGATATACGCTGCTGGCTCTCATGTCCCGGTGAATAATGGGGGGCGAGCAGCCGTGGTGGAGGAACGCAAGGGCCCTCGCAGTCCCTAAGGCAATCTTGTGCCTGAACTGCCAGGTGGTGGCCAGCGATGCCTCCACCTCACACGTGTCGGTGCTCCAATCCTCCGTGGCAGCATGGATTCCGAGCGGCAAGTCGTGCAGTAGATTCTGTAAGTTTCCATTCTCCATGTATTCGTAGATTGCTATCCTCTGATCCCCTGCAATGCAGTAGCCTGTTAAGGGGACCAGATTCGGGTGTTTGATCCGACCGAGATATTCCAACTCTCTTGCTGCCTCGTCGTCTGACATAGTCGAGCCGTTGACCAAGACTTTGACGGCCACGTGGATTCCTCCCGGAAGGAGCCCGCCGTAAACGGGCCCAAATCGGCCCTCTGCAAGAAGCGTGGCCCTGTCGAAATTACCGGTCGCGGATAAAAGATCAGCGAAAGTGAAGTTAAGCAGCGGCTTCTCGAAAATCACGACCGGGACAGATGTCGCTTGCTTGACGTCCGCCACCCAAGTAGTCGAGTCCGTCTCAAACGAAAAGGGTCCCGAGACCGAGTGTTGTTGTTCTTCCGCCACGTAGGATGAAGAATTTTGCTTGACAGCCCCCCACATTCTCGTTTTCCGCATGCGGCACCTGAAGGCTAAAACGAGCAGCCCGACTAGTAGACAGATCATGGAGATGGTTAACAAAAGCGCGATTCTCAGTCCCTTGTGTTTCGGTGCTTTCTTCCGGAAGAAATCGGGATTTGCAGCAATCGGGCAGCTGTTTACAGATCCAAAGAAGGCCGAGCGTAAGGTTTCTTGGGGAAAAGGTGCCCCACAGATACTTAGATTGTTGTAAGAGAAGTTGAACCTTTCCATCTCGTGAAGCTCGTTTATTAGAGCTTGGGGGATTTGTCCAGTCAGGTTGTTACGGGAAAGATCGAGTGCTGTCAAATGGGCTAAACGAGACATGGTGACCGGAATCCGACCGATCAAATTCGTGCTGGATAGATTCAGATACTCTAAGTTTACGAACGTGTCGATTCGAATGAACTGTTGTTTGGTGAATCTATTGAATGCCAGATTGAGGTGCTTGAGGTTTACAGCGCGGCTCAACCCGGTGAAAAACTCCCCACTAAGCTGATTCTCAGACAAATCCAAATAGACCAAATTCGACCAGTTGAACATTGAGCTAAAATTTGCCTGTGCAATGTGGCCTTCAAATTGGTTTCTGCTCAGATCAATCACTTCCAGTGGGCCTCGAAAAATATCCACGACAGAACCCTTAAACGCATTGCCCGAAATGTTGAGATATTTCAATCCCATACCCGAAAAATCGGAATCTCGACCGGAGATCATGTTCCCAGCTAAGCTCAAGAATCTCAGCTGTGGCAATGCAGCACCAAAGCCATCAGGAAGTTGGCCAATGAGATTGTTTTCGGATAAATCGATGGAGACCAAAGACTTGCACTGACAGATACCCAACGGGACAGCCGAATCGAACCCGTTACGACTCAGATTCAAAGCTTCCAAAACGGCGACCGAGCTAATTCCGTCCGGGATGCTCCCGGAGAAATTGTTGAAAGAAAGGTCCAAACTTTGAAGGTGCCCAAAATTAACAATGTTGCTAGAGAGACTCCCAGTGATGTGATTGTGTGAGAGGTTAAGAGTGTGAAGAGAGCCCAAATTCCAGAAATCAAATGGGAGAGCTTCGATTCTGTTACTGCTGAGATCCAATTTTTCAAGTTTTGTCAGCTTCCCAATCGTGGAATCTGGGATTGGACCAGATAGACCCAGAGCAGTGAATTCTATCTCAAGGGCATGTTCTTTACTGTCATCACAAACTAAACCCCTCCATGAGCAGAATGAACCAGAAAAGCCCTTGTCTTGAGGGGACTTTAAGCCCATTTTGTGCAAGAATTCAAGAATAAATGACTCATCTGTGTTGGGTTGTTGGCCAAACAAGGCCTTAGCACTCAGCAGCGTTAGAATCAAGAAAGAACCAAAAATTCGAAAACCCATTTCAGAAAAAAAAAAAAAAAAAAAGCCCTGCAATTTTACTAGAAACTCAAAGAGGGAAAAAAAGGGACTCAGAACTTCTCAAAGACCACGGCTTTTTTTGCACCATTAATGGCTCTGTAAAAAAAAAAAAAAAGAAAAAAAAAATCTCTGTCACCTGCAAACACTAAATGAATCAAAAGCCCAAGAAGAAAAAAAACAGCAGAGTTAAATCAAAATCTTTGTCTTTGTTGAAACAAGATTCATGAGAAAACTCTGCAAAAAACTCTTCTTTAGAGGGTCTATTACATTTAATTTATTTTTTTATTTTTTTTTTGGTGTGGTGAAGAGAAAAATGACAGTGAGAATTGGTTTAGGGAAGTTGGGGTTCATAAATGACAAAGATATTATTCTTTTCTTATTTAGGTTGGTGAATAAAATTGGTGATTTTTTTTAGGTTGAGTTGGACATAAATTCAATGGTGGTGCATTTAAGTTGTGCCTCTCATCATGTATGTGTGTGTGTGTGTGTGTGTGTGTGTTTTCCTTTCTAATTGATTCTGTGTGATATTATTATTATTGCTTGATAAAATGCATAAACCTTGGGTTTAATGATGATTTATTGAATGGAAAGGATTCTAGTTTCCTTTCTTCATTTAGGCTAATTATTCTAAAGATGGTGTTTTAGTTGTTTCCATATTGTAGCACCTAATATTGCATCCATTAAATATATATTAGTAACTTTGACATATTCTTGACAAGAGATTTGTTAAAACAAAGGCCATGTCAAGGTGTATCATAGGCTCGAGGGTAAATGAAAGGAGATGAGCTAATTCGAGTCGATAAATGAGTTGGACCTCGGACTAATATGTTAAAATTAACGAGTCGATTTCTTGATTTAACGAATCGAGGTAAATTTATTAGGATTCAAAATGTTGTGTAAGAATTATAGTTTATCAAACTTATAAACTCCAGTCGAGTTCAACTTGTCAACAAAATCAAATCGAGCTCAGTTCGTTTGTCAGGTCACAAGCGACTCGTATTATTTAACCATTTTAAAGAAGTGGCTATTGGTATTTAAAAATAAATAAAATAAGTGTTATTTATTTATAATATATACTTGTTATTTTTTTATTTTTTAAATTTTTTCTTCTCTATGTTTGAAAAATGTCAATCCTTTTAACTATCTTCTTCTTCCCACTAAATCGGTTTCACACATAATATTTATTTTTATGATTTTCAAGGGGTGGTCACATTAGTTCGGTAAGTACCAAAGTTACAGTTCGTACAAAAGTTATATTTGTACACATAAATTCTATTTGTACCATCGTATGATTTTCCTAATCCCAACATTTAATATATTGATACATGTCTAAAGTATGTTTATTGTAAGATACATGTCAATACACTATTTATGAATAAATGTGGATGACTCTATTAAAATAAATAGGAGGTAATATATGTTAATCTATACTTATATAAAGAACCATCATATTTATTAAAATTAGTAGAAAAAAAAAGTCAGCATTTAATGCAGCCCATAAATAGCAGTTTTATTATTTTTCTTATTTTTTTATTTAAAAATCATACAATTTAATTTATAACGATTTAATATAATCATACAATTTAACTTATATATATATAAAGAACTTTTTGTAATAAATTGAATAAAATGCTAAACAATTTAAAAATTTAAATGTTTTAACTAAATGATAAACAATTTATAAATCTCTATTTTATTTAAATATGTAAATTTATTTAAAATTATTTTAAATGTAGCCAAATCTATTTAGAAAATCATATCAGTTCAACCGACTGGTGTTGACGGATTCAATAGAAAATATTTTATTCCGGTGAACTAGACTGATTATAAATCGGTTCTCGGTCCATCCGGTCGGACTGTGTCCAACAAAGTTTAATTTAAAAATGATGGGTAAATTTTAATTAGTTTATTTGTATATTTAATTTATAACACAATCATAATATTATTTTCCCGTGCATCGCACGAGCCACGCACTAGTTGGACATTAAAGTTGACTTTGCTTGCTGGTGTTTACCAAATGGAAAGATTGTCTTTTTTTTTTATATATCTTTTTTCCTCTTTCCATTCTCTTTTTTTTCTTTTTAGTTTTTTGGCTTGATAGTTAATCAAAGTAGACTTGACCCTGTGTCGAATCGGCCTGCTGGTTCAGCCTGAACCGGCCTGCATATATACTCGGGCCGATTCGGGGCCTCCTAATTAAACTGTGGCCCAGAACTGCCGATTTTGACTCATAATCGGTTTTGACCATATCTAAATTAAGTCAATTGAAATTGTTGCCCCCTTCCATTTCATTGGATTCTTTTATAGCATAGTGGAATTTAAGGACCCAACAAATGATTTCTTTTTATTTTTTATTTTTTATTTTTTGTTATGCTAATGGGCATGTTTTGATGGTTGTTAAAAAAGCATTCAAATTTCAGAAAATAAAAATAAAAATCCACATAATGAGTTTTATTTTACATACAAGTATATAATGAATCACCAAATTTGTTTAAAATAGTTCATTGAATTTGATTTCTATTCCTTAATATGGTTTAGGGTAGTAGTGAGTAAAATCAAACTGAAACTGAAAAACCGAGCTAATTCGTTTTTTTATAATATAAACAAATTTTGATTCGATTTTAGTTCCTTTTTTTTTTTTATACACTACGGTGCCGTGTAATGCGGTTATTTTCGTTGCGGTTCAGTTCAACATTTTATTGTAAAAAGTATTCAATTCGATTTTTTTCTAAGTTGTGCTACGTTTTTGTTGTTTGTTTTTTCATGTTCGAGCTTTTTTTTTTCGATGTTTTTTTTCATCTATCCCAACCGTTGCTCACCTTTGGAGCATTTCCATGTGGGTACATATTGCATTATAAAAAAATTATTATATTCCAAACGATAATATATTTTAATAGAAATTTCAACAGATATTTCAATGGCGTAGCTTTCGTTGGAAAGATTCCAACATAAATTTCAACGAAAATATTCCGTTGGAATGAGTTTTTCATTGAAATTTTAGATGAAATTTGATAATTTCAACGACTATTTTTTCAACGGTTTTTTATCGAAGGAATTTTCGTTAGACTGATTGACCCGTCATAGTTTTGGACAAAAATATTGCATGTTTGCTTATATCATGAAATACCATACCTTTATTTAAGTTGATCTTTAAAATATGATGTTCAATTTAAAAATATATATGTTAATTTAAAAATATAATTGTTTAACTGTTAGTCAGCCTAGTAACATAAGCCTTAGGGCATCCATAACCCTTAACACAAATATCATTATAAAAAAGTAACACTCTTTCTCTTCCACATCATTTCTACATCGTCGAATTCTTTTCACTAAATCTCTCTCCATTTAAAAAACACACACATTCCTACACATTCATTTAAATACATATATGAGACTCATTATCCACTAATTCAATATAAATTATTATACTCTATTCTCAATAAAAAAAACACAATTTAATATTTTTAAATTATAATAATAAATTTTATATGCATGAAAACACTACAAGACCAAAATAACTTAAATTAAGATTACACAAGAAAAAATAGTACAATTTAATTTTTTTATATGAAAAATAGATAAAATATAAAAAAAATACAAAATAAATAATTATTTCAAAACAAAAAAAAAATGAAAGAAAAAAGCATGTTGGCATGCATTAAATAAAATAAATTTTGAAACCAAAAAAATTAAGAAAAAAGCATTAACGAGCGTTCAATCCATTGAACAAATAAGGGGTCTCCTTTATTGAATGAGCCGCATCCGAATGAACGCGGGGGCGTTTAAACACTAAAAAATGAAATAGTGCTGTTGATGCTCTTAATTATGTAAAAGTTGAAACATATATCGTTTACATGCATGAAATATATTGATATCACATGTGTATTATATATTACAATGTGACCTTCGATATTACTAACATAGTTTCAATTAATTTTGTAATTATTGTTTTCCTTTAGGAACTTTAAAAACATTGAACTAATCAATTTAACAATTTTAATTATTAAATTGATTTTCTTGGCTCTAGGACTACTTTCGTTGAGAATATATTATATATTTTTTATGTTTATAAGTAGCACAAATGGGCCGTGCATCAACACATCAACATACCCAGTATATTCTCAACAGGTTAGGGTTTGAGGGTCAGTTGTACGCAGACCTTACTCTTGTAATTATACAAGGAGGTTGTTTCCATAGCGACTCAAGGTGCGTTGCGTCGTTTGATATATTTTTTTATAGAAACTTCACTAATAGAAGAAGCACTAGAATTTAAATGGGCCGTGCATGTTACTCATAATATGAAATAGACAATTGAACACTTTTTATTATGATCGATATCATATTTATTAATTATAATGTCACGCATTCTTGCACTAGTACTATATGGTTTCTTTTCATATGATGAGCTTTTTACAACTGAAATGGCAGTCAGAAAATTAATTAAGGCTTCTTAATTAGTCCATAATCATCACCAAATTAATCCAAATTAATTAAATATACCAAAGCTAAAACTGTACGGGCCTGGATTGGGAATGATAATGAATGAAATAATTAAGAGGACCACATAATGATGGATGGATTAGCTTTATCTCAAGTCACCATGGGACCAAAGCCATGAAAGTAGCTATAATAAGCTCATGTTCATCAAATGCTCTCGTGTTGGTTTCAAGCAATGTTGATGTCATAATTTTACCTTTTTAGATAAAAAAGAACAATAAAGGGAAAAATAATCCTTTATTAGTTATTTCAATATTTTGTTAGTTAATTATTGTGGAATGGGTTTAAGAAAGTTCTATGAAACTGCTCATTGGGTTTTTTTTTTTTTTAACAAAT